TTCATCCATGGAATCTTTCCCAAGTTCTTTCTGAGTTTATTAAAATCACCTCTTTTAAAATCCAAGACTCTGGTTTCATTATGCTCTATTGCTTGTGTTTGTGTTATGTTGTATTCTAGTATGACATGGTCACTCTCACCCAAGATTCCTGCAGTTTTAACTCCTTCTATTACTTCTTCTTTATTTGTAAGAATTAAGTCCAGTATGGCTGTCCCTATAGTTTCACTCTCTACCTTTTGGACAACAAAATTGTCAGCTAGGTTGGTTAGGAACTTATTTGATTTCTCACTTGGTGCAGAATTAGTTTTCTAATTGATATCAGGACAATTGAAGTCTCCCATTACCATTGTTGTGTGTTTCCTGCATATGTTTCTTAGTTGGTTGGCATAAAGGACATCTATTTTTTCTGCTTGATTGGGTGGCTTACACCTATGGCCATATCCTTTTTTTCTTTTATATTGACCCATATGCATTCTAGGTTTTCATCTTTGGTTTCATGCATTTCCGTAGCAATATAGTGGTCCTTTACATACAGTGCAATTCCATCTCCTCTTTTATGGGGTCTCCTCTTCTCCTCCACCTCCTCTTTTATGTTTTTTTTAATAGTTTGTATCCTTCTACCAGTATGTTCCAATCATGGGTTTCATCCCATCAAGTTTCTGTTATTCCAACTATATCATATCTACCTTCATGTATTCCTAGTTTGAGTTCACCCTGTTTGTTCCCCAGACTTTGTGCATTTGTATATAGATACTTGAGATCTTTATGTCTGACACTGTGTTTACTGTCTACATAACCTGTGTTGTGCCTGCCTGCCCCTACTTTCTTGCCACCTGTTTGATTAATGCACATGGTATGGCACTCACTATTAAATACTTGGTTTTGGTTGACAGCAAGGTTGATAATCTTACCTGCACAAACATCTATTTTGCATGCACTGGTATCCTTATTAATTTTAGGTTGCTGGGTACAGAAATGTTCTCTATCCATTAATTCTCGGTCCCCGCTGTTCAGTTTAAATGTTTATCCAGGAAATCTGTGAATTCAATGCCAAGTAACTCAGTCCCTTTCTTTGATGGATGCAAACCATCTCTTTTGTAGTTTTTCATTGGACCAGCTGCAGACATCATGACTAATAAAACCAAAGCCTTCCCTTTTACACCACTCCTTTAGCCACACATTAAACTCTGCTACACGCTGCCCTTTCCCTTTTTGTTCCTTGTATACTGGTAGAACCTCTGAAAAGATAAGCCTACAATCCATATTACTAAGTTTATACCCCAAGCTCTGGAAGTCTTTCTGATCAGAAAGTACATCCTTCTGGGACAGATCATTTGTACCAAGAGGTATAATAGCATTAATATCATAATCCTTACTTGCATTCTTGACTATCTTAAGAATACGCCTCTTGTCTCTGCTGGCAGTAAGTAGCACCTGGCAGACACCTGACCTCTTTCAAAACCTCCATATCCTTTCCTAAATTTACATCCCTTATAATTGAGTCCCCAACCAGAAGGTGGCTTCTCTTTTTGGATGGCTTGCTCTTCCTGTGTGACTGGTGTGTGATACCAGATTCACACTTTCTCCTTTCCAAAGTAAGTTCTTCTTCAGGGACCATGATCCCCGGCTTATTTGAGTTATCATTATCACAACTACCTTGACCTGTCACTTTAGTGTCCCTATTAAGGTCAGCAAGGGCACTGTATCTGTTATGCTGGGACACAGCAAAAGCTTTGTATTTATGGTCCACAGTTCTGACCTGCCAGATCCCACGGTTGTCCATACTGCCCTTTTCCTGTAGGATCTTTGTGGTAGTGGGGGTTGGTAGCATGGCAGCTCAATAGATGGCTGGATTGGGCACCTAATTTCTGCTTGGAGAGCACAGATTAGAGATTCTAGATAGGTAATCTGTCTGTGTAGACTGGTAATTTTTTTACAAAGAAGACAGTATCCAAATTTGAAAAGAGTACTGCAAAAGACAGCTGTAAAGCAAGTATTGCACTAAACTAAGCCAGTCTGAAATAAAATAAAGTCACAATCTCAAGCGCACTAACCCTAAATGTATTATTGGTATTTTTGGTTTATACGGTGCACAGACCGCTATCTTTCTCCTTTGTACTCACCCTCAGCCTCCTCACAAGCAGCCAGCAGCTCCTCCCACCAACCTCTTGGGATTTGAAATGCAATGGAAGCAATTCAAACTGCCTTTCTCCTTTGTACTCACCCTCTGCCTCCTCACAAGCAGCCAGCAGCCTAATGCAGCAATTGAGAGGTATTTACGTTGCTATGTGTCCTACCAGCAAGATAATTGGTCTGAATTACTGCCATTTGCTGAGGTGGCATATAATAACACCACCCACAGTAGTACTAGACAGACCCCATTCAAAATAGTAATGGAATGGAATTTATCCCAATTCCAGAATGGCCACATGACAGTCAGGTGTCCACAACTACGACTAAAATGGTCAGAAAAAATAAAGGAGACATGGAAAACAGTACAAAAATCCTTACATGACACTTTTCTGGCATACAAGAAAGAGGCAGATAAAAAGAGAATACAATATTCTTGTTTTCCACCTGCCTTCATGGGATATTTCCGATGAAATCAGCTGCAGAGCCGAGGGGCATTCACATTGGTATGAACCACCCATGAGGCTTCTGCAAGGGGATGTCCTTTCCGTCGTACCAAATATTACAACATACCTCTGCGCTTCCAGGACTCCAGAATGTCAGCAATCTCATAATGATCATCTCATACCGACTCAGGTGGTACAATTCGGTTATCTGTTCGTTCTTTATTATCAGGTTTGATTAAGCTAATATGGAAAACGGGATGCATCCGTTTAAATCATGAAGGTAATTTTAGCTGTAGAGTGATGGGATTAATCACCTTCACTACTGGAAATGGGCCAACATACTTTGGACTGAGTTTTTTACAGCGTAGTCCCATATTCAAATATTTGAAAGACAGGTATACGAGATCTTCAAACCATAAAGGATTTAGTTTCCATTCTCACCAATCTGTCTCTCTTCTCCAGGTAGACCTGTAGTAGAGGGCGCAGCCTGTCGTGCTCCATATTTGACTATGCCCGCCAGTAATAAAAGAATAAAAGATGTTAATTGTGGATCCTTCCCACCAGCGACGAAGTGGATGTGGAATGGGGATTCTCTATGATGATGCCTTGCACTGCTACCTGGGAGGTGGAGGCTGAATGGGAATTCCCACACGATGTGGCTAGGGCGCTCTGCTGTATAAGGCTTTAGTGTGGGGAGGGGGGATTAGTGCGGGGAGGGGGGATTTATAGATCAGGCATTACAGGGTGTCCAGGGAAATAGAGGGGATCAGTGATAGAGAGAATGCAGAATGTTTGAGGCTATGTACAGCCTAAGTAACTAATTAGCCATATTTGGAAACATTGAATACATGGATAATTCGAATAGGGCAGACTACAGAAGGTAGATGCAGTTAGGTGGGTGGGATTATGCTATAAAGAGCGCTGGAAGGCAAACACTTCCAGCGCTTACCTAGATTGGAATTCAAGCCATTATCATCAGATGGGATGTGTGTTACTTGTACAAATAAACGACTGCACACCTCAATGTTTCTTGGTTTGTATCTTGGGAATACGAACATCCTGAGGACCAGCTAACAACCAGCACAATGTAAAGCAACTTTAATACTGCTTCTTGTCTTGACACTGTTGATGCAGCCTGGGACTGCATTGGTTTTTTTCAGCAGGTGCGGCACCACACAGCACAATACTGGCACAAGTGGTACTTAGCATACGGCCCAGGGATACTTGGCCTGCCCTTTTGGAGAGTTCCCAGAGGCAGCCAACATTTTCAGTGTACCCACAATTCCTTAAGACAGTCTACTAAGCGTTAAGAGAGCAAAACAGAATACTTTGTCCTAGTGACAATGACCCAGAAACAGCCACCATTTTGACACAGAGGCAAGCATGACAAAATGGCAGCTGCTTGCACAAGTCCGCCACATGACCCAGGCATGAATCCCACAAATGTGTGTCTTTCCTTCCTTAACCAACATGAGGTTCAGAGATCTCCAAAAGGTATGGAGAAGGAGGAAGCTGTGATGCCTGGTGGGTTGGGAGTCAGGCCTAACAATTTCAGGGACCGAGTGGGAACAGGAAAATCCCTGTGGGGACCCAACAGGTGGGGTAGTGAAGGCTAGGCCTCCAAGAGATTCCCACAACTCTGAGGAAGTCACTGTTCTACTTAATGACTTGAACATTTGTTTAACAGCTTCATCAGGGAGAGAAGGGGATGGGGATAGATAATTGAGCAAAGTAACCTCACTTAACAACCATTGCAACATGCAACCGTAACTGGCAAGCCCCATTACAGTTGTATCTAGAGGACTATTTGAACTTCTACGGTGGCTGGGGGAATTCTAGGGCTCAAAATATGGAGGACACCAAGGTAGTAAGTGGAATTTTTTAAATAAAAAATTCAATATTTACATACATGATGTGTTGTGAGATAATTTTGTGAGTTTGCTTGCTAGCAAATTTTATGTAATAGACTCAGGCAGCAGATGGCAGAAAGGTAGATCTGTGAGTGAATCTGTTATTCTGCAAGCAACTCAATCTGCCTGCTTGCTTTGCCTGGCTTTGGGTAAAAGTTGCTCTTTTTTAATAAATATTTGAATATTAACATAGATATTTACAATATTTACATACAAACCATGCCCAGCAAGTCACAAGACCACCAAACCATGCCCACTCACCAAGCCAGGCTCACCCAGTCACATGACCACCAAATTAGCCCACACTGACAAAACCGATTGTTAAGAAATTTGAGTCACACCCCTGACTAATTCTATGGTGACTGGGGAATTCTGAGGCTCAAAATATGGCCAACAAAAAGGTAGAAGACAGAAATTCCATGTGTGCGAATTCCATAATCAATATACAAAAAACATCACCCAAAAGCCTTTTTGAGGAATTCCACTGCTTCTACAAAAATGAAATTGCTGCTGATAGTGAGAAACTGGTAGGTTTCCATTTTCCTTTTTTCTCTACTTACAAGTCTAATTCTGAGGTATGTTTTCACCTACACTCCTAATGAGAGATGAGAAATGAAATGAAAGTCTTCTCTAAACTCATCAACTTTTCCCTCAGTTGGATTTCCATGTGTGCAGTAAGGAACAATTTATACCAGAAGCATCATCCACAGACAGATTTGTCTCCTCTGTGAGTCTGCCAGTATATCACTAGATTCACATTGTGAAAGAAAATTTTCCCACAAATAGGACATTCAAAGGGTTTCTCTCTTGTATGAGTTGGGTGGTGTTTCACCAAGTAGGAATTCTGACTGAAATATACCCACAATCAAGTTATTCAAAATCCTTCTCACCTGGGTGAATCCTCTGCTGTTTCACCGGGTCAGAATACTCACTGAAACTTTTCCCACATTCTGCACATGCAAAGGGTTTCTCTCCTGGGTGAATCCTCTGATGATTCAGCAGATTGGAATTCCGACTGAAACTTTTCCCACATTGAGAACATTTAAAAGGTTTCTCTCCTGTGTGAATCCTCTGATGGTTCAGCAGGTCACAATTCTGGCTGAAACTTTTCCCACAAAGAGGACATTCGAAGGGTTTTTCTCCTGTGTGAGTCCTCTGGTGTTTCACCAGGTTAGAATTCTGACTGAAACATTTTCTGCAAACAGGACATTCAAAGGGTTTCTCTCCTGTGTGGGTCCTTTGGTGTTTCACCAGATCAGAATTCTGTATGAAACTTTTCTCACAAAGAGGACATTCAAAGGGTTTCTCGCCTGTGTGAGTCCTCCGATGTCTTACCAGGTTGGAATTGTGACTAAAACTTTTCCCACAATCAGAACATTCATAGGATTTCTCTCCTGTGTGAGTTCTCTGATGTTTCACCAGGTCAGAATTCTGACTGAACCTTTTCCCACAATCAGGACATTCAAAGGGTTTTTCTCCTGTGTGAATCCTCTGGTGTTTCACCAGGTTGGAATTGTGACTGAAACTTTTCCCACAAACAGGACATTCAGAGGGTTTCTCTCCTGTGTGAGTCCTCTGGTGTTTCACAAGGTCATAATTCTGTCTGAAACTTTTCCCACAAAGAGGACATTCAAAGGGTTTTTCTCCTGTGTGAGTACTCTGATGGTTCACCAGGTTAGAATTCTGACTGAAACTTTTCCCACAAACAGTACATTCATAGGGTTTCTCTCCTGTGTGAGTCCTTTGGTGTTTCACCAGGCTGTAATTCTCACTGAAACCTTTCCCACAAATAGGACATTCAAAGGGTTTCTCTCCTGTGTGAGTCCTCCGATGTCTTACCAGGTTGGAATTGCGACTGAAAAATTTCCCACAATCAGGACATTCAAAGAGATTCTCTCCTGTGTGAGTCCTCAGGTGTCTCGCGAATTGGGAAGATCCAATGAAATGTTTCCCACAATCTGGACAGTCATACAGCTTCTCCCTGCTGTGAGTCTTCAGATGTATCACCAAGTTGCCATTTTCACTAAAGCGTTTACCACATTGGAAGCACTTGTAGGGCATCTCTTCTGGGTGGGTTCTTCTGTGAACCAAAAAGGATCTGTTCTGACAAAAGCTTTTGCCACATTCAGATAATTTGTATCTGCTTTTCTCCAGTGTCAATTCTCCCCTGGGTAATCCCTTGCGATTTGAAGTCTGCTTTTTCCATAATAGGCACAGCTATGGAGTTTTTCCACCACAGTTATACTTGAGAAGGTCAAAAATATATGTGATCCCTTGTTTAGTGGTGCTTTGATTTAAGCACTTTTCTTCCTCCCAGGAAAACGCCTGTATTACTGCCTGTATTACTGTATTACCTATGTGCCGATTCAATTAACCTGTTCCTCCCCACTTACTTCCGGATAGTTGCCTCTTTTTCTGAATGGAAAAATAATCTCCCTTGACGTACTCTCCCTTTTTGTGTAACGTCTCTTATTAATTTTCTTTCCTTTGTCTCTCACCTGCTGTGGAAGGAGAATAATTGTGTGGTTTTTCTGATGGAATTGGAGAATAGTTTTATTTCTGCCTGAATCTGCTTTGCTTTTCAATATTGCTCGTTATTCTGTTGTCCAGTGTGGTCTTCTGGCATCATCTTTGTCTGTAAGATTCAAATGAAAATGTAGCTTTTATTGTTTATAAAAGGGTTGCAGAAGATGTGAAAAAGTGTATAATACAATGAAAAAGCAAATATGCCAATATGCTAGAATCATCGCTTACATCCATTGTGATATTTACTACTAAATTCCAGTTTAAATATCCATTCAATCATTAAGTTCCCTTGTTGACTCAGGTCAGTCACAAATTCTCAACCCTGCAAAGTGTTATCATCAAATAGATAGATAGATAGAATTCTTTATTGGCCAAGTGTGATTGGATACACAGGGAATTTGTCTTTGGTGCATATGCTCTCCGTATACATAAACAAAAACCAAAATTCATTCATCAAGAATCATGAGATACAACACTTAGTAGTAGTCATAGGTCACTAATAAGCAATTCAAATCATATTAGGAAACAAATAATACAAATTGTAAAGATACCAGCAACGCGGTTATAATCGTAAGTGGGAAGAAATAGGTACTAGTAAGAATGAGAAGAATAACAGTAATACAGCCTTAGTAAATAATTTGACAGTGTTGTGGGAATTAGTTGTTTGGCAGAGATGGCATTCAGGAAAAAACTGTCCTTGTGTCTGGTTATTCTGGTGTGCAGTGCCCTATAGCATTGTTTTGAGGGTAGAAGTTGAAACAATATATGTCCAGGATGTGAGGGGTCTGTAGATATTTTCACAGCCCTCTTTCTGACTTGTGCAGTATATAGGGGCTAAATGGAAGGCAGGTTGGTAGCAATTTTTTTTTTCAGCAATTCTAATTATCCCTTGAAGGCTGTGTCTGTCTTGTTTGGTTGCATAGCAAAATCAGACAGTTATAGAGGTGCAGATGACAGATGCAATAATTCCTCTGTAACAGTGAATCAGCAGCTCCTTGGCGCACAAAGAACATTCTTTGTTGTACTTTTTTGATGACATTTTTGATGTTAGGTGTTAATTTTAAGTCTTGAGATATGGTAGAATCTAAAAACTTGAAGGACTCTACTGTTGATACTGTGTTGTCTAGTATTGTAAGAAGTGGTTGTATAGGAAGGTTTCTCCTAAAATCTGTAACAGTTTCTACTGTTTTGAGTGTTCAAGATTGTTCTATTCGTACCACAAGGCTAGTTACATCAATACAGTTATGTGAAGAAATAATAAAATACAGTTTCTTCTTCTTCTTTTTCTTCAGCGTTTGTCTCGCGCTCGGGCGAGGTCCGCTAATGTCCTTGAGTACTGCTTCCACACCTCTCTGTCTGCCACGTGTGTCGGGTCTGCCTTCGCGATCTCTAGATCGACCTTGATCGTGTCCATCCAGCGTTGTTTAGGTCTACCACGCGGTCTCGCTCCTCCGACAGTCACCTTCATTACAGATTTGATGATGGATTCTTCCTTGGCGCGGCTCACGTGGCCGAACCATCGTAGCCGGGACTGCCTCATGACCGTGGGGATGGGCACGACGTTGAACCGTCTACGCACTTCTTCGTTCCTGACGCGATCGAGTAGGGTGAGGCCTACCGACCATCGGAGCATTCGCATCTCCATTATCTGGAGTCTGCTTTCGACTTCTTTGGTCATCGGCCAGCACTCTGCGCCGTATATGGCCACGGGGCGCACCACAGAGTTATAGATTTTCGCCTTCAGGCGCATCGGCATCTTCTTGTCACAGAGGACGCCCGTGACGGACTTCCATTTGCCCCACGCTGCATTGATCCTGGCTGCCACCTCAGTTTGTAGTAGGCCTTCTTCCCCAAGAGTAGTTCCCAGGTACTTGAAGGTGGAGGCGCGCGGTAGCTCCTGCCCGTTCACGTGGATGGAGCCTGTCATTTCATTGTCAGTGGTCAGGTATTCGGACTTCTTTAGGTTCAGCCGGAGCCCGAACTGCTCGAGGCGGTCGTGCCACTGTTGGACTCGGTGCTCTAGTTCAGCCTTGCACAGGTTGGCCAGGAACACATCATCGGCGTAGAGCAGCGTCCATGGGGCGGGCGTGTACAGGTCGTGTGTAATTGTGTCCATCACCAGAATGAACAGCAGTGGTGAGAGAGCAGAGCCCTGGTGTACGCCGACGGTAATATTAAACTCCTCTGATATCCCAGCTGCCGCTTTTACACGGCTTTTGTGACATCTGTATAGGAGTTGGACCCATTGTACGAGCAGCTCAGGCACGCCGTGGTCTCGCAGTGCGTACCAGATGAGATCGTGCGGGACTCGGTCGAAGGCCTTTTCCAAGTCTAGGAAGGCGGTGTGGAGCGGGATTTTCTTCTCTCTGTGAGCCTCCATCAGCATCCGCACACCGAAGATGGCATCGGTGGTGCCGCAGTTCTTGATGAATCCAGCCTGGTTGACGCTGATGTCGACGGTGTCCCGAATGCGCTTATCAAGGACGCGTTCAAAGATCTTCATAGTGTGTGACAGTAACCTGACCGGTCTGTAGTTGGAGCAGTCCGCTGGGCTGCCCTTTCCCTTCCAGATCGGAATAAAATACAGTTTATGTATGTATATATGTATGAATGTATGTATGTATGTATGTATGTACGTATGTATGGTATTCAGCTTTGTTCGGGTGTTTTCCCACATCATTATAGTTGTGCTTTTAAAGTTGTACCAATGTTACAGCAGAATCTCATCTGCCATCATCAGGCTTCTGTATAGTGTTCGAACACTATACAGAAGCCTGATGATGGCAGATGAGATTCTGCTGAAACGTTGCTACAACTTTAAAAGCACAACTATAATGACGTGGGAAAATACTCAAAGCTGAATACCATACATATAAATACCCGTGAAAACTTAAGAAAACACACACATATATATTTATATAATTATATATAATTACATAGAGTGTAAAATACAGTTATGTGAAGAAGAAAGTATACCTTCAAGCTCTATCATTTTATGTATCACGACATAGTAAAAATTATCTCATCCTTAGTTTAAAAATAGGTAAATATAACATTAGATGAGTAATAACAGATAATATATTATACCCATTATATCTTTTTCTTTTACAAAAACAAAGCTGAAACATCTTCTATGGGTATGAGGAGCCTAAGTAGCCAGTGCTGCTGATCAAATAACCTGCATTAATTGATCAATTATCAACAAGTGTGACTATATCTATAAAAGCGGAGTTTCTTCCAGCATTGCAGTGTAAATTAATTGCAAAGTTGTGGGAGTTTCCTGGTCTCCAGCACTGAGGTGTGAATTAGATGCCAAAGAGTAAAGACATCAGTGGGGATCATGGAGAAGCAATTGTGGCTGCCCATCAATCTGGGAAGTATTATATCTCAAGCTCTACAGGCCTCATTTAAGATGTTAAGTGTTAAAGTTCATGACAGTTAGAAAAAGACTGGACAAGTATGGTTCCTTTGGAAGGGTTGCCAGTAGAAAGCCTCTGATTTCTAAAAAGAACATGGCAGTAACACTTAAGATTTGCAAATTTGCATCTGAACAAATCACAAGACTTCTGGAACACTGTCCTATGGATGAGACCAAAGTGGGGATGTTTGGCCATAAAGCAGAGTGCCATTTTGATGAAAACAAAACAAAAGATATCAATACAAAGATCTCACAGCAATCATCAAGTACATGAAGGCATGATGATTCGGGCTTATTTTGCAGGCACTAGACCTAGCTATTTTGCAGTCACTGAGTAGTCTAGGAATTCCTCTCTATACTAAAGTATTCAGAAATAGATCTGGAAGGGACCCTAAATGTCTTCTACCACAACGCTCTGCTCAAGCAGGAGATTCTATATTAATACGGACAAGTGACTATCCAGTGTCTTCTTCAGAATTTCTAGTGATGAAGCACCCACAAGGCCTGAAGGCCAGCTGTTCTGCAGGTTAATTGTCCTCACTGTTAGGAAGTTTCTCCTTAATTCCAGGTTCCTTCACTCCTGAATTAGTTTCCATCCATTCTGTCTTGCCCTGCCTTCAGGTGCTTTGGAAAATAAATTGACCCG